GTTAGTCAATAGGTCTGAAGGATGTGGAATTGTAGGGTTTTTATATAAAATGGAAGCTTATAGTCCCCACTCTTAAGGAGATTAAAATGTAAACATCTCCCCAGTTGACGAGGTTTCTCTCCACATTTCCTGTGTGGGCTAAGAGACTTATCCTTGAAAAAGGTTTGTGGGCAAACATTTTTCACTCTGCGCCTCCTATTGTCCGGGGCCTCTTCTTTGCCGTGCCTGCCTGCCTGAAGACCAGGAGCGGGTCAGAGAAAACTCGCCGCCACCCACTCCCACTCCTCTTCTCTTCAGCCACAGTGTCATTAATAACATCTCCCTCAGTTACAGTCTCCCTGCTTTTCAATAGCCCTCCTTTGTGTCTCTAAGCAGGCAAGAATGCGATCTATTAAATGTTTAAATTGGAATCCTTCAAGAGTTCGGTCCTCGTTTTCTTCTTTTGCCGCCGACATAATTGATTTCACGTGTGTTTGATTCCAGGGTGAACCTGGTGTGCTCGGTGCTCCGGGCACCGCGGGTCCATCGGGTCCCGGCGGCCTCCCAGGAGAGCGGGGTGCTGCTGGCACACCTGGAGGCAAGGGCGAGAAGGTACGCTCTCAGTGCTGGCCCTTAACACGTGCGCTTGAGGAGCTCTAGTGAAGCAGGCTGGGGTTTGGTGTCTGGTGGTCTGGTTTTTGGCGTTTTGTTTTTTTTGGGTTTTTTTTTTTTTTTTTTGCAATTCTTGGTAGGTGGGCTGGTAGCATTTTGATATCTATCTCTACCCATTTCCCTCTGCCACCTAGCACCTACGCATTTCTAAACTCACTAATCTGGCCAAATTGCTTGCTACCATGGAATTTCACGCAAACAGATGGTGTTGAGTAATACATGAGGCTCATTTTAATGCCGCGAACAAGCCTGCCTCATCCGGCCCTAATTAACGGGAAGGAGCTACGCTGAACAGCTGTCCAACGTGCCGCGGCATCAGTTCCGCCGTAAGAGAGATCGGGCGCCGGAGCCCATTGTGATGTTGCCTTGTCACTCCGTCCCCAGGAATCTGTACCTTGCTTGGTTATGCTGCAGAAGACGGGCTGGAAATTAGAAAGGAATATTTAACAATAATCTGGAGAGGGCCCTGAATTATTTTTTCCTTATATATATATATATATATTTTTCTCCTTCAACATCCTAGAGAAGAGTAGGGACTCGAAGACATTGCCAAACGTTAAATGACTGAAGGTGTATAGGATTTTCTGTAAAAAACACTGCAGATACACTTTGATTCAAAAATGTGGCCGGAAAACCAAAAGTTGCTTTTGCTTTATACTTTCAGGGTGAAACTGGTCTCCGAGGGGAAGTTGGTAACCCAGGCAGAGATGGTGCCCGTGTGAGTAGAATTTTGTTTGTACTTAGACTGTTGTTGTTTTTACATTTCACTCGAGTTGAGCAGCTTTCCAAAACTGAACTGACAAAAGGAGGATCCAGGTTTAGTAAGAATCTTCCTTTCCTTCCTGGATCATTTAACATGTTCCAAAAGAAAGATTCAACAGAACTTAGCCCTTTGAAAATCATAACCTGAATAATTTTCTACCTTCCTTGGTGTTAACTATACCAAGTGCAAATTATAAACCAAAAGCTCTAGGTTTAATAGAACTTTTAAGTGATTGTTTATTATAGGACTTTGGGGAAGAAAAAAACAAAACAATAACTCTTACATTTTAAGAAGCCAGAATCCAGAACCTCTAACAAAGGTCCCATTTATTCAAATGCGTGTCCTAAGATTTACCACTCAAAGAGCAGCCCCAGTGATTAGCTGTTAATGCCACGGAGATGCCAAAGATCATCCCATGAAGGGATAATAACGCTACCTCGAGCGTTGGCAACATGGCTCTTCCGGGCCGTCGGCTACCTTGGCTCTTCTCCTCCTCCCCTCCCTCAGAGCTGATAACTCACTCTGGCACATTGAAAATCGTCCTTTCTCTGAATCCCACAGCCTTGGCGGTTTCAAACAAGGCTACTCATTTGCTGCTCTCCGGGGAGCTTGACAAGAGCAGAGAGTTCGGGATCTCCCCAGTTCCTAACCTGCCTTGACTTCCACATTTCCATCCCCTCCGATCACTGGGGTACTTTCCTCCCGAGAGCCGCTTCTGGTAGTTTTGACAATTAGAACTGAAGTGCATCGAAGGCTTTCTCGATGTCCACCCCGAGTGTGCAGTGACAGCGCTCGGTCACGGTCTGAGCACAGCGAGGGCGAATGGCAGGGTCACTTTTGATGGCCTGGGGGTATAATTAATAAGACTCGTTTCCTTTCGGTGCTAGGGTGCCCCTGGTGCTGTGGGTGCCCCCGGTCCTGCTGGAGCCACTGGTGACCGGGTAAGCATGCGTTTTCATGGAGCCAACCGCAGCATCGAGCATCTCCTGCCCGCCCTCGCCCCAGAGAGCCCCCGCAGTTCATTTTTATGACTTGGTATAAAGCCTGCTTATTTAAAAACCTATCTGTTGTGATGGGGCCACAGGAAACAAATGCTATGTGTTTAAAGTCCTCTTTCCCTTCCTAGAGATGTGCCAGCTAGCTGATCTGTACTTTAATCCCTATCATTTGTTTTAAAGACTTTCCCTGTTGCCCATTAACGATATCCTAATGTACTGAGCCGCCTCAAAGCCTTCAATTGTAAAAAATCAATAAAATACATAGTGTGCCCATTTCACATCGAATAGTCCCCTTAAAATAGACCTTATTTATTGTACTGCACAGATTGCAGCAAATAGATCAGCTCTGTGTCCATCTAAAAATTAAAATGTCCTCCTCCTCGTATTGTGGGCACTGATTTATCGTGTTTTTGCAAGTGTATGACCAATACCACTTCAGCCCCCCAAATGAATACAACATTAAGCACAGTAAGAATGCATTTTATTTTACTCCCTGAGATGTGCATTAGTTTTCTCTTCTGACACACACTGCAAACTCTGACAAGAAGCCCACTCTCTACCACTGGTACCTCTCCCCACCTCCTCTGTGAGTGTCGATGTGAAGCCCGTTGACAAACTCCTCTTTGGTCCCATTATAGGGTGAAGCCGGTCCTGCCGGTCCTGCCGGTCCTACCGGTCCTCGTGGTAGCCCTGTAAGTGGAAACCTGGGGCATCTGGGGCACTCAGAACTTTCAGACCTTAACGAAGCTAAGATCGCTGTGACATTCTTAAACCCCTTCTCCCACCTAGGGTGAACGTGGTGAGGTTGGTCCCGCTGGCCCCAATGGATTTGCTGGTCCTGCTGTGAGTATCCTATGATGCAGGTTAATCCGAAAAGATCCCAAGCTGGCAAGTAGAATGAGCTGGAACGCCTGACGCCAACTCTTCCTCTCTACCAGGGTGCTGCTGGTCAACCTGGTGCTAAAGGAGAGAGAGGAACCAAAGGGCCCAAGGGTGAAAATGGTCCCGTCGGTCCCACAGGCCCCGTCGGATCTGCTGGCCCATCTGTAAGTTGAATTCACTGGTGGTCAACACAGCCTGTGTCAGTACCCAGGAAATCCAACAGTTCAACATAGATCAATCAAGTGCCTGCTGTATCCCGGGAACATACGAGATAGAAGATGATGTGAAAAATAAGAATTAACATTTGCATTCCACTCTATAATCTGTAAACATTTCATAAACGTCTCCTCTCACTTCTTTGGTATAGCTCCATGAGGGTGGTCACACTGAAGGACATTTATTTTATGACGCAGATCATCATTTTTAATTTCTGGATTGGCTTCTCATAGACATGGGAATGATACCTTCAAAGAAAAAAGCAACATTTATAAGAACGCTCTTGTGATTTGACTCCATGTTTTTTTGTTTGTTTCCATTTAGGGTCCAAATGGTCCCCCTGGTCCTGCTGGAAGTCGTGGTGATGGCGGCCCCCCTGTGAGTATTCACAGTGGACTCTGATAACGTGACTTTCTTTAGAATCTATTAAAAACAACTTGAAAGTTTGGAGATTTTGGGTTAATTCTGAACTATAATAAGGAGACTCTTGAGATCCAAGTTCACTTCTTTCAGAGAAATTCTGATATTGAAGTTACCATTAGATCATGGGCTACTAACTTAATCCCAGCTGGAACTCAGTGCAGTGTATGTTGCTACCACCTCACCTGAGGTAATAACCAAAGTTAACCCCAGGCTGTTTAATTGTGCAATGGATAAAAAATAATTTCTCTGGTACCGCCTATCCTTTTACTGATGCCCCCCTTCTCCTGCCTGACCATGCCCTTTCTCTTGGCGCCCAGTGCTGTTATACTGACTCCTTCAGGACCCGGACCTCCCTAGGAATGAACTGCACTGACTCCTTCCTGCTCTCATTGGACAGCAGTTAATACTCTTGGTCTTTGGTTGTACCTTCCTCTGGAAACAAAAGTACTTATCCAGTGTCCATGTGCTTCGCACCCCTCCAGGTGGTTAAAATAGTTCCTGTTGTATACACATCAATGTGTAATAATGGCATGGTGTCTTGTCTTCTTATTCTTACAACCGTCAGGTTATATGTTAGCGTTTCAAAAGGGACCATCAGAGCCTTAATGCAAAATATGGGTGTTGCAACCGGGGCGTGCTGGTAGGAGAGAGGTGCAGAGATGGAGGGCCTTCAGGGTCCTTGTTGAATAATACCCTATATGGGGCTACCACTAGCTACTCCTTGGTCCATCCTTGGTCACGTGTATCGAGGACTGGCCAGAGGAGAAATTTCCATCTCACCCAAATCCCTAGAGTTGGCATTGATTGTGGAATTTTAATGTGCTTGGTTCTTAGGGTGCTACTGGTTTTCCTGGCGCTGCTGGACGGACTGGTCCTCCTGGGCCCTCTGTAAGTAAATCACTTCAAAGTATCTCATTTACTCTACCCAAAAGGCCTTGCCTCTAGTAGGAAACTGGTGAGAAACTCTCTGGAAACACGCTACTAATATTTTGCTATTACTTTCCTGGTCTGAAATCAGTTTTCCTGAACCATTAAGGCAAAATCATCACAAATTATATTTTATAAGATCAGCTTAAGAGGCTTTTATTCATGTGAACACAAGTCCCCTTTTAGGGGCATGGTCTCTTTGTTAGAAATAAAAAACAGAACAGTTTTAGTCACATATCAGATATTTCTATATCTAATTACCTTTTATGGCCAACATTCTGCCTCCGTTGTTCAGGTATAATTGTTCCTGAATTTAAAGGTGGTTTGGCCTCTAATTTAATTCTGATTCAGACTCTCCTGTCAGGACTCAAGAGAATTTAATTAATTACCAAGGATTAAGTCTTCTGGTTAAGATTTCAGGGAAAAAAAAACAGCAAAGATGTTGATTTCTTGGAACCCTTTTACAGGTTCATAACAGAAAAATCTTCACTTCCTGTAGGCATTTAATTAAACCTAGTGGAGCGCACATGTGATTCCTCAATGATGAACAAAATGCCAGTGTCGGCCATCTTCACAAAGAAATGAGCAGGGTCTTCCCAAACCCCAAGTCCCATTCATTTACGACGGACTCTTCTCACTCTCTGGAGTCCTGGCCCCAAGACGCCAGGGGCCTGGTAGCACAGCATTTCCTCTCCTCACGGACATTAGCCCCAGCTTCGACCTCAGTCAGTCACTTTATTACAGGCTCCAGAGAAGGAGGACAGGGAGTTGCCTCTCCCCACTACAAGGAATGTGACGACGCCCCCACAGGTCCCCCCAGTGGCCAGGGTAGCATTTTGTTGCTTCACACTGTTTGCATCTTCATCTCTAGAACCTCAGCTGCTCTCTCCCGGGTCTGTGACGGGTTAAATGACTCTGTCATTGGCTCACAGGGTATCACCGGCCCTCCTGGTCCCCCTGGCGCTGCTGGTAAAGAAGGACTCCGTGGGCCTCGGGGTGACCAAGGTCCAGTTGGCCGAACAGGAGAAACTGGTGCACATGGTCCCCCCGGCTTTACCGGCGAGAAGGGTCCCTCTGGAGAGCCCGGTACCGCTGTAAGTGATTGCAAGCTCCTCTCTCGTAATACCTTGTATTGAATTAAAATAAAGCCTTTACACAGATCTTCAAGTGGCATCTATTTGTTAACGAGTACTGCAGGCTTTCACAGAGAACTCAGTTGAGCCAGGAAATCTGTCCGGCACATACTGAGGTGGCGGGGCTTCTGCAGTTGCTTAGAAGGCACTAGACGGGGAGGGCAATAAATGAAGGAACTCACTGTTTTATCAGAATGGCACCTCACTCGTCCTGGGATTAGAACCAGAATCCCTTTGCCATGGTCATCCTATTGTACACGAATCAATCTCAGTAAGCTACCAATCTCTTAAACATGCATTGTCTGTCAATGTTACTCTGAAATGTGCCTTTCCTAGACCGGGTTCAGCTGGAGGCCAAGGTCAAAATTTGCTTCTTGGCATAGATTCTATACAAACTCTCTTGTGTCACCCCAGATGTCTTCATTAATCTCAATCACATATTTTTGACTGTTGTTCCATTGGTCTCAAGGAGGTACAAAGAAATATACTTGCCAAGCTGTCAACTCCTTGTCATCACTAGAGAAAAGATGTCCAAGGATATGTCCTCCTACTAGGAGGTCACCAGCCTTTTTCTAAACTGAGGATAGCGGATTCTCACAATCCTCAAGCCAACGTGTATTATCACTTCGCGGCTCACCAGTGATGTATTTTTCCTCTTGTTCAGGGCCCTCCTGGCACCGCAGGTCCTCAAGGTCTCCTTGGTGCTCCTGGCATTCTGGGTCTCCCAGGCTCTCGAGGTGAACGTGGTCTACCAGGTGTTTCTGGATCTGTGGTAAGTGTTTGACACCATTCTTCTTCTCATTAACATAATAAAAGATTTTAAAAGCTGCCACTTCAGATGTGACAGATTGATCACTGAATAACTCCACTTAAGATTTTTTATTCATGGCATTTTCTTTATACAGATCACATGTCACTTATCTAAGAAGCTTTAATACCACCTTACTTAGACACACGCTATAAAGATACAGCTTAACATTATGCAGAATGATTTTTGTTCTTTTTACATGCTTAAGAACTATATAAGCTCTAATTGCATTTACTCCTCTGCAATATGAAATGCTGGCATCATTTATCCTGTAGGCAGAATGAAACTCTGGAAGTTCTGAATCATTCCGTTAAATCTCATACATGACAGCACCTAAGAATCCTCTCATCTCCATAAACTCTCTCAACTTTATGAATTCATTTCATTTGGGACAGCAGATGCAGCTAGGCTTACCTAGTACAGAGCGACGTTCCAAAATTACAGAAAGCCGGCCATCCGAGTGTGTAGGATGAGGGCGAGGATAACACGAATGGGGCTTCTGGCTGTTCTGTGGCCCGTGCCTACCCACCCCCCCCACCCCCCACTGCACTTTCTCTTTTCAAACTGCAATCCCCTAGCCGGGGTTGTGTTGGGAGGGTGAGACTTGCACTCGATCCAATGAGAGGAATGTTTCCTCTTCTCCACGTCTAGGGTGAACACGGACCTCTCGGCATCGCTGGCCCACCTGGGGCTCGTGGGCCCCCTGGGGCTGTGGGTGCACCGGGAGTGAACGGCGCTCCTGGCGAAGCTGGTCGTGATGTGAGTCTGACGTGTGGTTTGTAGAAGCAAACTGTAGTCCATTGTGCGTGACTTCATGTCCTCAGCTGAGTTCCTCCTGTTCCAAGTCTCTGAACAAGATGGTCTGTTTCCCCATAATATCTATGGGTCTTGACCACTCCTGCTATTGAAAATGTGAAAAATTACTTGGGCTGGGGGGTGGGAGGATGGCTCTTTAAATGGTATACTTCAGATTTGGCCAAAATACTAAAAACACCTCTAAGAAAACTAGGCTGGCAAGTTCTAACTGGCCTGTTTGATGGTCTGACTGGGGGTTCACTGTGGAGTACTGGGAGGAATGAAGACAGAGGAGCTGAACTAAAGGGGCTGGCGGGGTAAAGAGCCTCACGAAGTGCCTTAATTGGTGTGGTATCTTCACAGGGCAACCCTGGGAACGATGGCCCCCCAGGCCGCGATGGTCAACCTGGACACAAGGTCAGCACACCTCTTTGTCTTTCTCCAATTTAAAAGTGACTAAAACCCAGGCCAGGTGGATGCTAAACTTCACTTTGCCTTTGGTAGGGAGAGCGCGGTTACCCTGGCAACATTGGTCCTGCTGGCGCTGTGGGCGCACCTGGTCCTCACGGCCCTGTGGGTCCCACTGGCAAACACGGAAACCGTGGTGAACCCGTAAGTTCGTAAATACCAGTCCCTTAGTGCTGTCCTCTTCCGAGGCTTCACTCTGACCTCCCCACACTCGGGAACTGGGGGATTTGGTGGGGGAGGGGCTTGGGCTTGGCTGACGAGTTCGGTTTTGCTTCTCCAATTTGCAGGGTCCTGCTGGTTCTGTGGGTCCAGTTGGTGCTGCTGGTCCAAGAGGTCCTAGTGTACGTACATGATGAAGATTTCTTCACAAATGAACATTTAAGGAAACTCTGTCCAGACTGTCCATGAATAAAATAAATAACATATAGGCTAGACTTCATATTTTTAAAAAATTCAGTCCATGCTGAGAATTGCTACATCTAGCTTCTAAGGCTCTTCCATTTCAAATCTCTTCTGTCTGTTTGTATTAAATAATCACCAAAATCTAGCCACTTAACGGAGGGTTCAATGAAAGCAGATTAGGGGAGTAGATGGGCGTAACACCCACGTGGTGTTTAAACCTTTGCATGTCTTGAGTTAGCTCTGTAAACAGATAAAGCAATACTGGTGGGGAAGTGAGAAGGTAAAATGCCCTGTCTGTCCTCCTTTTTCTTTACAGGGCCCACAAGGTGTTCGAGGTGATAAGGGAGAGCCTGGTGACAAGGGGCCCAGAGGTCTTCCTGGCTTAAAGGGACACAATGGACTGCAAGGTCTTCCTGGTCTCGCTGTAAGTACAGTGTGGACATTCTGCATGTGTACAGATCTTAAATGATCTTCCTCAAATTTTCACTGCTCTTGTTCTAAAATGAACTACATCGTATTCATTTCCTATTCTCTGGCTGACTCCATCTCGCAGAGATAATGCTATTTCATCCCAACACAAAAAGGTGAGGGTTAAGGGAGATCGGAATATACATATATTAAAATCTCCTGGCAACAATGTCCTTCAACCCCACTTAAAATAAATATAATTAGAGGAATGACTAATATTACACTGCTGAAATAGCTTGTAGAAAAAAATGTAATTGAATATAATAGACATAATGGGAGAAAAGAGCCCCATTTTACATTTTCAATTTTCTCAATCCAGAGTCCATTGAAACTAAAGTTTTCCATTCAATTAAAAAAAAAAAACTGTTTGTTGACACGTGTTCTGAAAGTGTGATTTTCCTGTCCTCTCTTTCAAGGGTCAACATGGCGATCAAGGTGCACCTGGTTCTGTGGGGCCTGCCGGTCCTAGGGTAGGTCAACCCAGGAGACCTTGGTCTCTGAAATGAGAGCTTATGGCAGGGAGGGAGCCCCAGGCCCCTCCTTCCTTGTTTTTTTTTTTTTTACGGACTCCCTCACACTTGGTGTCCTCCTTCGCCAGGGCCCTGCTGGTCCTTCCGGCCCTGCTGGCAAGGACGGTCGCACTGGACATCCCGGTACAGTCGGCCCTGCTGGCGTCCGTGGCTCTCAGGGGAGCCAAGGTCCTGCTGTAAGTATCGTTCCGGGAAATAACGTTCTGCTCAGACGAACCCAAGATGGCTGTGACAACACACTCAAGGAGCTCCCCACTTCCATATGTTAGCTCTAAACCGTATAAAGATGGTATGGAAGGAGCTGTTTCAGCCCATCCCCACCAGCATGCCTGGGATCAAGTTATTCTCTTTTACTTATTAGAACGTGCCTGTAACACTCAACTGAAAATCTGCTGTCATTGACATCTCTCACTGTGACCAAATATGAAACCTCCTCTTTCTCGCTCTCACCTTTGCAGGGCCCTCCCGGTCCGCCTGGTCCTCCTGGCCCTCCCGGCCCGAGTGGTGGTGGCTATGACTTTGGTTACGAAGGGGACTTCTACAGGGCTGACCAGCCTCGCTCACCACCTTCTCTCAGACCCAAGGATTATGAAGTTGATGCTACTCTGAAATCCCTCAACAACCAGATCGAGACCCTTCTTACTCCTGAAGGCTCTAGGAAGAACCCAGCTCGCACATGCCGTGACTTGAGACTCAGCCACCCAGAGTGGAGCAGCGGTAAGTCAGGATGTCAAAGCCGGACCGGCCCTTCTCATGAGCTGGGCTTTGTAAAGTCCATTCCCATGGACATTTAGAATGAAAAAGTTTGGGGTAAAAATTGCATTATGTGGAATCATACCTAACTAATAAAGCATTTTCTTCTCCCAGCCAGCACCCAGTCTCAGGCCTCTCTATATATTACCACGAAAAAGGCAAAAATACATATTCTCTGATTTGATTTTTTTCATGAAGGACAAGAGAGGAGGAACTGTCTCATCTTAAAAATAGCCATCCTCTTCCTATTAAATGTGGGGTAGACAATGTTACTTATGGGAATCAAAAATCTTTGTCTAGTAATTATTAGAACCTATGCTCCACTCAAGGAGAGGTTTTATGAGCTGGGTCTTGTTTCTTTTTTTAAAGGTTACTACTGGATTGACCCTAACCAAGGATGCACTATGGATGCTATCAAAGTATACTGTGATTTCTCTACTGGCGAAACCTGCATCCGGGCTCAACCTGAAAACATCCCAGCCAAGAACTGGTACAGAAATTCCAAGGTCAAGAAGCACATCTGGTTAGGAGAAACTATCAATGGTGGTACCCAGGTGAGGAATCCTACAAACATCCCTTCTCCTACTAAATAATATTAAGATAGTTTGCTTTTCAATGATCTGCATTTTAATCCTTTACCAAAATGGGATTATTAAAAAGAACCTCTTTTCTCGGGTTTCCGTTCTATCCTGGACTGCATATTAAAGCTGGAGTGATTGGACATATCCATACCATCTAAAGTTATTATTCAAATCTGACTTAACTGATAATCACTGGAGAAACTAATGCCCTTTAGCATGAGGACATGCTGGCCAGCACCTAGCCCTGTGTCCATGCATATGTATTCTCAGGACATGTGCTTTTCTGAATTTTTAATCAAATCTCTTCACCAACTTTATTGAATGCCTACTGGGGGGAATCACAGAAAAAGAAAGAGGTGTGACCCTGTCTCCTTGCTCTCTTATCCTAAAAGGCTTATCTAAAACAGGTACCTTTTTGAGTTGAGATGATCTTGCCTCAGCCTGGTAGTTCCTAGGTACCTTCTAGGTAACTAATATTGCACAGACAAGTGAATTGAGTTTCCTGTAAAAGTACCTTTTTCCCCAAGGTTCAGATCTGAGTCCATCATTCCTCCCTAAGTCAGCCTTTCCCCGCCCCCCTCTTTTTTGACTTAGTATTTCAGTCCCTCTCCACTTAACTAGCGTTTCTACCTTATTCTCTGTAGTTTGAATATAATGCTGAAGGAGTGACCACCAAGGAAATGGCCACTCAACTCGCCTTCATGCGCCTGCTGGCCAACCATGCCTCTCAAAACATCACCTACCACTGCAAGAACAGCATTGCCTACCTGGATGAGGAGACTGGCAACCTGAAGAAGGCTGTCATTCTGCAAGGCTCCAATGATGTTGAACTGGTTGCCGAGGGCAACAGCAGGTTCACCTACACTGTTCTTGTAGACGGCTGCTCTGTAAGTAATAGGGAAATTTGGGGAAAGTGGGTTGGAGTTCTAGCTTAGACCCATTGAATGAACAGGTGAAGGAGAGACCTACCTACCTTAAATTCAGATGGCAAATCTTGAGGATTCTTATCAGATCTTGCCTTCGGAAATTCTCTGAAGTGCTGAAATACATACCATGTCTGTGCATTAGCTGTTTTTCTTTAAACATGAGTTTGTTAAATGATGATGTCTGCCCATAACTTAAAAGTACTTGAGATTAAAAGGTCCCAAGGTATAATTTACAGCTATATGTACCTTATTTGACTTATTAGTATGGTCTGCATGTAATTTTTCTCTACAATATGCTATACATTGAAGAAAAATTAAAATTTACAGCATACCCACCCAGCTCTCCCTACTGACACACACATATCCCAAAAATGATATTGTAGCAATAAACCACTTGGAATATGTATTGAAATTTTCTTTTAAAAAATTAGACAGACTGGTAGGAAATCTCTCTCCCTAAAAACACCCCCTAATGCTTCTGTTTCAAAGATCAACATGTTGATCTGGGACACACCTCAGAATGAACAGGCCCAAAAGTAGTTCTTAACTACCGAAGGTTCTGATGATAATGTTTGTTTTAGAAATAGTGCTGCTTTATGAATATATATAATTTTTTTTTCTTTTTTAAACAGAAAAAGACGAATGAATGGAGAAAGACAATCATTGAATACAAAACAAATAAGGCATCCCGCCTGCCTATCCTTGATATTGCACCTTTGGACATCGGTGATGCTGACCAAGAATTCAGGGTGGACGTTGGCCCAGTCTGTTTCAAATAAATGAACTCAACCTAAATTAAAAAAAGAAAAATCTGAAAAAACTTTCTCTCTTTGCCATTTCTTTTTCTTCTTTTTTAACTGAGAGCTGAGTCCTTCCATTTCCTCTGCACATCTACTTGCTTAAATTGTGGGCAAAAGAGAAGAAGGATTGATCAGAGCACAGTGCAATACGATTTCATTCATTCCCTCCCCCCCCATCCCCCCCAAAAAAATTTTGGATTTTTTTTTTTTCAACACTCTTACACCTATTGTGGAAAATGTCAACCTTTGTAAGAAAACCAAAATAAAAATTGAAAAATAAAAACCATGAACATTTGCACCACTTGTGGCTTTTGAATATCTTCCGCAGAGGGAAGTTTAAAACCCAAACTTCCAAAGGTTTAAAACTACCTCAAAACACTTTCCTGTGAGTGTGATCCACATCATTAGGTGCTGACCTAGACAGAGATGAGCTGAGGTACTTGTTTTGTTTTGTTCAGAATACAAAGGTGCTAATAGTATTTCAGATACTTGAAGACCCTTGATGGTGCTAGAAGAATTTGAGAAGAAATGATCCTCTGTAATGAGTTGTATTGTGTATTCTTTTTTCATTTGATTTAGCATCAGCATTTCACATCTGACTCCCAAATAAAAGTATGCAGATCACTTGCCCAACCTTGTCTTCTTCTTTAAATTCAGCATTTCTTTGCCAGTCTCATTTTCATCCTCTCCCGTGGTACCAAAAAGAAGCCTTGTTTCTTGGACAAGCAGAAAAATTAAATTGTACCTATTTTGTATATGTGAGATGTTTAAATAAATTGTGAAAAAAATGAAATAAAGCATGTTTGGTTTTCCAAAAGAAAATATCGAGTAGAATTCCTTGCTTCGATGCTCTTCGCAATATAAATATATGAATTATAGCATCTCTACCAGCCATTAGACTGAGCGTTTCTCATTAGATAGAAACTATGCAAAAAAGGCAATTTGGTCTAGTAGAAAGAGCAGAGAACAAGGACCCAGGAGATCTGAGCTCCAATTCTGACTGCTCCTTGTGGCTGAGTGACCTTGAGCACTTCACCTTTCTGTGTTTAATTTCCCTATCTATACTATGGTTGGCCGGGGGGGTGGTGGGGGGGGTGGGTAGATTCCTTCTCTGAACTATAAAACATTTGCCCTACTCAAAATACATAAGGCTTAAACAAATGGTATTGTAGACCTAAGTTTACTCTAAGCGGAGACCACAGAACCTTCTGGTTTATTATCTATTAAGCACTTTGAAACAGTGGCTGAAAGTTGGTCTATGTACAATTAATACTATTAACTAAAACAGTTTCAAATATTCAGTAAAAATGCCACACACTTAAATCTGATGCAACTGAGTACAATGCCTGTTAGGAGGTAATGTGTGTGCTGTCAATCAGCACAGACAGTTGTGGGTAATAGTACCATGAACACCTCCCTGCCAAATCAAGTTCATTTTCCTCCCCTGCACCTTTCAATGACATCTTTAATACACTTAAACATAGTAATGTGTCAAGTAAGATGTTAAGATTCATTTAGAGCTTATTTCCTGTTGCAGAACATAATTGTGATTGTAATATTTGCCTCCTGAAATAAGTCATCTCAAGATTCAATTAGTTTTAAAAGCAAAAAACTGAACATGATGAAAATCTAACATCAGCTCTAAAAAGTCAGCAAGGTCTATTAACCAAACGGTAACTTCAAATTACGGTCCATCCACCACCTGCATCAGAACAAAGGGATGCTTTTTAAAATGCAGACTGCCAGTCCTCAACCACCAAATTAAGATTTAGTAAGGAATCAGTATTCTTAAGCACCTTGCAAAATTGTGTTGTGCATCCACTGGGAAACCACTGGATACGGTGATTTCCACAGCCCTTCGAAGTTCTCACATTTTGTATCTGGCAAGAATGAAGCAATATACCTACCAAATGACACAAAGAAAACGAAACCCCTGTAATCAGAATACGAGTGCTCCCGACAAATTAACTGAAATGGCCAGCGCAAACTTACATGATAGCCAGTTAGAAATTGCTGGGTTTCTTCAATATGTTATGCCCTCAGGTCCACAGTCCAAGAAAGTTGGCTTAAAGAAGGCAAAAATGAAGAAGGAAGAAATCATTTCCTGAGTACCAGCTGAGAGCCAAATACTATGCTAGATGTTAACAGTGCTCTTTGTCAAACTGAATCCAAATAGGCAGATTTCTTAAGCCAATAGACAATAATAATCATTTAATCAGGAGTGTGGGATTACAGGAAAATAGTTCAAAAAACAATGGTATATCTGATAAACAACAATGAGGAAATAAATGATGGTATATCCAATCAATACTAATGAGGAATGAATAATGGTAATATCTAATAGACAACAACAGGAAGAGTGAAAAATATTATTTTCATATCCCAATAACATTTATGAGGATGATTAAACAAAAAAAAAAGCTTAGAATGGAATGTTATAATCTTTAAAATATCACATTCAAGTACACTGTCATTAGAAATCTATCAAACATACGGATCAAAATGCTGAGAGTAGGTGCATTCATGGAGTAATGATAGGAGTGACTTTTATGTCTAAATTTTCCAAATTTGCTGTAATGTAGTTATATCACCTTTATCATTTACAACAAATTTACCCTTAAAATATTATGAAAAGAAATAAGCAGTAAGCAAGTGAAAACAATCCTGGGTGAGGAGTGGCCATCTCCAGGGCAAGAGCGGTCCACCTCCCACCCACTTCTCTTCTGAAAGAGAAGGAAAAGCCCAGCCTCAGAGTCATCACTCACTGTGACCCGGCCACACTGGGGGGCCCCAGGGAGTGGTGCACAAAGCCATACATACCAGGCGGCAGCATCCTCAGGGGGTTCCACAGTTCGGCTGCAGAGAGAGAATAAAACAATGTGTGAACACAGTATTAAAGTGTCCTCTGAGGATAGTGAAGGACACTATTAATTAATGAGAGGGAATCGCAGAAAATTAATCTTAGCTTCACACAGCAACAGTGACATTCGGGTTTAGTTGGCCAGCTTTTGCCAGAGATCTCATTCCACTTTCAAAGCCTCTATCTGGCCAGAGGTTTCTTCTCTGGAAGCCACATACTAGAACTGTCTGGTACTTACCAAGCCAGGAGGTCCACTGTGAGTGTTCCCGGGGCCTGAGCCGAGTACTGAAGGCTTGACCCTTGCATGACCAGGCCCCCCTTCCCCCGCCCTGTAGAGGCTAATCATTGGGCCCGAGGGACCCTCCTCACAGTATTTCCTGACCCTTGGTCCTATGAAGGTCAGCCGCCTCTAACCCATGCCAGTCTGAGAGGGAAGAAGATTGCATATGAGAAAAGGAAGGAGCAGGTAGCCAAGATTGGGGGACGAGGCATTAATCAAGTCTGGTAAAAAGGGTCATTTAAAATTCTAAAATCAATACAGCTTAATGCACTGGTGAAGAGCAAGGACACCTGACCAATGCAGAACACATTTATTATCTTTAATGCCAAAATACTGTTTTCTGCTATTCCACTTAATATCACTGAAAAAGAAGTTCAGAAATTGGATTATATATAAGAGAAGTTGGAAATGTCGTTTTGGGTCAGAACAACAATCCATCTAGATGAGTACTTTGCCTTTGACAGTGGCACCAAGGGAAATTTGGGAGAAAGAGTGGTTGGCACTTCCTGAGAAACCAGCCTCAAAACTCCCATTTAATAACCCGCTGTAAATCTTTTTTGTACATAGATGTATCCAAACCCTTCCAGAGCCCTCTATCTGTTTTGAAATATGTTGGTATTACAGTACCAACAGGAGAGAGCTAATGCTGAATTGTTAGCTCGGCTTCCTGGCCCTCTGATCAAGCAGCTAAAATATGCTTTCTATCCCTGTGCCTGGGTCAGCCAGGGATTCAACAACTCAGTGTCCGCAGGGGGCACCAGTAACTGCAGCGCTAGGGCCACCGACAGCCCATAATGATCGACTTATCCCTGCTGCTGGGTGAAATAAGCACATAATTTGTGGTCAGCCGCCGAGGTTATGTGCACCAGCTCCGCCACCGATTGGCCAAGGGCACTTGGGAAAGTCTCTTAAGTTCTCTAAGAATTTGGTTAACATACCTGCTCTCCCTAGTCCACGGAACTGCCGGGAGGACCGAATGGGGCAGACGTGAATGCGCTTCATGAAGTGAGGGCAAACGTTACGTGCCATCATTAGGTCCAAAATTTCCAGTCACCTGTTGTCCCCTCTTGAGTTAATCTATCCCTGGCCCTCCAATGTAGGGAGAGCAGAGCCTAGATTTTAAATTCAATTAGCACCTCTCTTTAAGTTGGTAATTGATCCATTTTGAGTCATGCCTCCCCGTCAGTAAAAAATGTGAGCCCTTATAATGAATTTTGTTAATCTACTTATATATAAATGTTATGCTCATACTATGTACTACGGTACTAATGTATGATGTGCAATGTAAAACCTACATGGAAAAGAAAAGCCTTTAAAAGAGAGAAAATAAATACAAATAGAAAATTCCATACTCCAGTGGATTGTGTTGCACACCCCTGGGATGCACGCACATTCCCACCCTCTATTGGAGAGACTAGTGCCCTAAACAAGGATTCACGATGGGCTTCAGGGGAGGGCCGAACATCAGTGAAGTCCTGAAATAGAGTGCTAAATTTTGTGCGTATGTGCATTTTTCTCGGGGGGAGGATCCACAACTTTCTTCAGATACTTCAAAAGGAGGGCTCATGCCCCAAAACCATGTTATGACCTATGCACAAAGGCAGTATTCCTTATTTAATAAACCCTGGGCTTTCCTGAACTATGACTTTCATGTCTCATCTTGGGTCTCACACTCGGAACATGCTGCTTCTCCTGTCCTAAGGCCTGAGAGAACCAACCAGCACTGACCCACATTAAACTTGAGGTTTATCTCTTTCATTCTTCCACTTTCCTGCCCTGGGCCCTCTCGCCTGTGTTTTAACAAGGCTTGGCAGATGCTTTAGGACCCAGAGTTGGACTTTCCGATATCAAAGTGCACCTGTCCACAAACAAATAAGAAACAAACAAATTCAGTAATGGAGACTGATTAATGAGTTATTCTTTTTAGGTAAAACATGCATATGTTAATTTTTTAAAAGAAGTTTAACCTAAAAGAGATTGCAATTCCTGGTACTATAAAAGACTGTAAGGATAATAATTGGAACATGTTCTTCAGGGACCTTCAAATCATCCCAGAACCAAGTGTCTCCTCCTCATCTGACTCTTCCCAAACAGAGCTATTATTCTGAGCCCAAGCTATAAGAATAATTTTGGCCAGAATTAACAATCCTCATGGATTCTAGAAAGGTATCCTTAAAATTGCAATTCATTACATATTTAAAGAAACTCACAAACACAAAATGCCGCTGAAGTGAATTCTTTCTAGTGCAGCAGTGCTCTTGGTGCCCAATGACTTAATTAACCGTCAACAGCATGGGGGGAAAAAAGCAGAAACAATTTTTTTAATGGAATCTATTAATGCCAGGCAGAATAAGAACACCTACTCATAAACCACCGTGGCTGAGTAGATGGCCTTTCTCTCCCCACGGGATGTCACTTTGAGCTCACTGCTCCCCCTGCTGACTGGATAATAGAACACCCCCGTCTTTGAACACAGCCACATGCACACCATCAGAGAATGAAAACTCAGATTTCAGAGGAGAAAATGGAACAGCCTCCTGTGCTTATTTCCTGTCTGCCCCAGACACACAGCCTTCTCTCCAGCTTCCGTGGCAGCCTACCTTCCCGTCCTCAATGCTCCCTTTTTTTTCCCTTACCCTTTTAAATCTGTCCTTAATATCTCTCCCATGGAGTCGGTAAAATGGAAGTCACAAGGAGGCAAACTAAGTTCAAAAAGAGAACGGGAGAATGGCCTTTTGGGCCAGGAGAGATGCCCAATGCTACAAACGTTGCCCCACAACGCAGTGACTAGCTTCAGGAGTGAAGCAAGGGGTCTTAGGGATTATAGAGAACAGACACAAGAGGATGTGACTGAAAGCAGAAGGGCTCAGGAGGCAGAGCTGTCTGCATATGAGCCCTGTCTCCACCATTTCCTCCCCTGCAAGATGGAGATAACGATGAACTGCCCACCGGACGGCAGGGATCAGGAACGGGAGGGCTGCTGGAGAGTGAGCACGCGGCACCACTGTCCACGGCGGCCCTGGCCCCGCAAGGCTGCACCTTCCCGAAGCCCGGAACCCCACCCTTCCCCTTCCCAGAGTGCTGGCTTCTCGGACCACCGCCTAGACGGATAGCACATCTACAATTCAATGACACTTCAATCTCTCCTACTACAAATGGATTCCAGCAAACTTCCAAACCCTCACAATTCTGGTGAATCCTTCTCCACGAGCCAATAAAAAAGTACCGAGCTTTGGTGCAGCCACTCTGGAAAACAGTATGGAGGTTCCTCAAAAAGTTGAAAATAGAGCTACCCTATGACCCAGCAATTGCACTACTGGGTATTTCCCCCAAAGATACAAATGTAGGGATCCGAAAGGGTACGTGCACCCCGATGTTTATAGCAGCAATGTCCACAATAGCCAAACTGTGGAAAGAGCCAAGATGTCCATCGACAGATGACTGGATAAAGACGAGGTGGTATATATATACAATGGAATATTATGCAGCCATCAAAAGGAATGAGATCTTGCCATTTGCAACGACGTGGATGGAACTGGGGGGTATTATGTTGAGCGAAATAAGTCAAACAGAGAAAGACATGTATCATATGACCTCACTGATATGAGGAATTCTTAATCGCAGGAAACAAACTGAGGGTTGCTGGAGTGGGGGGTGGGGTGGGAGGAGGGGGTGACTGGGTAATAGATACTGGGGAGGGTATATGCTCTGGTAAGCACTGTGAATTGTGCAAGACTGTTGAATCTCAGATCTGTACCTCTGAAACAAATAATGCAATATATGTAAAGAAAAAAAAAAAAGAAGAAGGTAGCAGGAGGGGAAGAATGAAGGGGGGGAAATCGGAGGGGTAGACGAACCATGAGAGATGGTGGACTCTAAAAAACAAACTGAGGGTTCTAGAGGGGAGGGGGGTGGGAGGATGGGTTAGCCTGGTGGTGGGTATTGAGGAGGGCACATTCTGCATGGAGCACTGGGTGTTATGCACAAACAATGAATCATGGAACACTACATCTAAAACTAATGATGTAATGTATGGGGATTAACATAAGATTAAAAAATTTAAAAAAAAAAAAAAGTACCGAGCTTTCATTACAAGCTTGGAAATCTTCTCAATTTTTTTACAAAGAAAAAAACAATCCCACCTCAACAGTAAAAACAAAAAGGTAAAACTTCTGAAAAAAAAAATTTTTTTTTTGTATTCAACTAGGCTCTGGCCATATGCCATTAGGTTCATCCGATTTGGGAGACAAAGCTCTCTGAGCTGAGACAACAGCCCTTCGCTTACTTGGAAGCCAGTTCTTGTACACAAATGGACTATAACTCATACATACATGTTGAATTAGCCAAACTCCTGACACTTAATTTTCACAATTTGAGTTTCTAAAACTTTGTCTCTGGCAGCCAGCAGAAATTCTAACTCAAAGGTTATCAGCACAAGAAATGATCATAATTATTAAATTCATGTCCTTGGGGAAATTTCTTAGCCTATATGAATTTACTCAAGGGCTTCGAACATCATTAAATCACCTATTATTGCCAGTGCCTTGAATGTCTATATGAGTATTATTATAAGTGGAACCACTTCAAAGAAGCTGGATTATAGTCATTTCCAACATGGTTTTTCTATCACTGATTATAGGTCTCCTCTTCCTTATAATACAAAAGTCTCAAAAATTTTTTTAAACCTTTTCAGTCAGTGTCACTAAATTAAAGTTT